TTTATTTACGATGTCAAAATAATGTGAAAATGCTTTGCTGTTTTTAAGCAAAAAAAGCTAAAAGGCGTTCAAACAAACATGATGTAAATGGAATAGTCTAAAAATAAAGTTTTAGTAAGATAGAGCAGACAATGTTACATGAATTCAGATTTAACAAAAATGGAAAAGCGTTTGAAAGAATCAAGCAAGTTAAATATATTTCAAATAACAAACTTATTGTCGAATAAGGTTCAAATTTTGTAACACAAGTAAACTTCAAATCCATTATAGTTAATTTAAAAAAATTCGATCGAATTCTCAAATTAAGGCTCTGTAAAACTAATTATTTATTTTCTTTTGAAAAAGAAAAAAAGAATGTGTAACTTTATATACTAAAAGTATGTAATATTTGTAATAAACAACAAAAGCAAACTGATGAAATTTGTAAAAGTCGATCATTTATTTGATTTGAACTACTGTATGGAAAGAATTCTAGGGCAACTTTGAATCCAATAATAAAATTGTGCTATCGCAAAAAACAAATACCAAATAATAAAAGATCATTTCTCCCATTCATTTTTTTTTAAAGTATCACAAAAGCTATATCAGAATAAATCTTGATTTCAGTTATCCGTTATTTGAATTGCTTTTATAATTTCAGATTTAGTTTCTTATAAGAGTTAAATAAATCTGTGCATCAGGAGATTTGTTCGAAGATGAGATTTTAGTGCCAAAAGCTTCTTTGCAATTCATTACGCAAAAAAAGTCTAAAAATAAAAAGTAATTATAACCGATAGAAAATCAGGCTATCTCATTAATTTTATACAAAATTTAATAAAGTTTTTTTTTATTTCGTTTGCGATTATTAATAAAATTGTGATTACAAACTGGTTACACAGATTTCATAATTTTCATTAAACAGAATTTTCATATGTACAGTACTTACCGCAAAAAAAATTTATTTTTTTTCTTCACTTCTTTCTTTTTTATATTAACAGCTGTTTTACATTGACAATATAAATTTTTTATGTTTCGAAGAAAATATTTGTCAAGGCAATTACCAATAATACATCACAAAAATTATGGTTATTGAGGCAAAAACCAACAGCGTAGGAGAAGATTATTCAATATTAAGTTTTATAAAATGATAACAATTTAACAATATTCACATAAGAAGATATGATTTCATAATCAAACAGTTTTAACGTTATACGAAATCACAAATAAAACTAAATTTTACTTTTGATAATTCATGATCGAGAATATCATTCATGATGCGGAATATTACATCCAAATTCTAAAATTTGCAATTGTGAAAGATCAACGTATTGATAATTTTGTAAATTTACAATCAGTATCAGATGACTAAAAAATTATTTTCATATTAAGTGTTTTATTTCGCTTTTATTTAATCTTTTTCGAACTATATTATATTAATAATTTCTGTCATAATCAAAAAACTATAAGCTTTTTAATAAATTCCAATAAAAAATTGTCTTATGTTTCCGTCCCCATAATATAACATTTCACATACCCTCAAAAAAAAAAATTTCCCCTATAACAAAATATTTTTATGTTTAATTTCTTTATCTTTTATGTAAATAAATTTAATATTTTTTTTTTTTTTTTAATAATTTCATATTTTTTTTTTCCTTTTATTTTAAATAAAATATAAGTAACTTCGCAAGACGATTTAAGTTTTTTGTTTTTAATGAATTATATAAATTTCGTAGTAAATTGACAACCGTACACAACATACGTGGAGTTATTTGTGGCATATTTGAATTTCTGAACAAGTAAATGATTCTGACTTTATACTCTCAGACTGCGATCATCAGTTTGGATAGTTAGCCAATTTGGAGTATGTGATTATTAAATTTAGAACTTCTCATGTTGTAGCATAGCAAAATAACAAGGCTTGTTTTAGTAATGGTGAAATGGTTTAATAATATTGAAGTTCAAGAGCTCGGTATTTTAATTTTCATCCAGGGGTTTATGTGAATATCATATTTTGAGGGGATGGAAATATAAGACATTTTTTTTTTTATTTTTTTAAAAAAAAGGCGGTGATAAATAGATGTAAAGCCCTAATTGTAATATGACAATGTCATATTACGAATAGCGTAAACGATGAAACGAAAACGAAACGGAATCATCAGACAATTTTTTTTTGTTGTCAAATTTTTCATATTCGTTCATAAAGGTGGTAGATATATGGGTATGGGATAAAGTCCATTCCTTGAACAAAATTTTAACGAACAATAACATCATTAATGATTATAATTTAATGATATTTAGTTCATTAGCTTCATAGATTCAAATGATAATTATTTTATTTTTGTAAGTGAGAAATTGATTAAGATAGACTTAAAAATAGTATTATAAATTAAATAGAATTTGGGATTTGGGGATGGGATTCTACAGTATGAGGTAGAAGAAAACGATTAATTTTATATAAATTTTGGTTGTACGAAAAGGGCCCTCCAAGTAAAAGGGGGTAATATGACAAATCTTATTTTGTTTCATGATTTAATCTATTTCAAAATAATGATGCAATATTTTGTTTCAAATAAAAAGTTCGTTTATTATCTCAATACAATTCTTGTTCAGAAAATGTTATTCCGATCAGAAAAAGGAAATTCATTTTAATTAATTTATTGTTTCGCTCCTTTCCGTGTTTCATGAGAAATTTACTGATATACTTTGTTCAACATATTTCTGTGACTTTCGTGAGAAATAAATGAATAATCAATCTCCTAAACTTCATTTTCGTACATTCATAGGAATCATACGATAATTTTTTTAGTATAAGTTTCTTCCGAGATTAGAATCCTCTATTCCTTATACGTTAACTTTAATAGAAATGTAACAATTTAAGTTTTTATTTCGCATCTTTTGAACAAATAGAAAGAATAATTATATAATTTTTTAAGGGTTCTATTCCTTATACAGAAATTACATTCGCCCAATATAAATTGTGATTATAATAATTATAAATATTTTTGATCTTTTAAGGGCTCATTAATGACAGACATTATATTCGCTTCAATAAAAGTTTGTAATTTGAATTAATACAAATATAGCAAATTTAAAATATTTGTTTATTATTTGCATGATCACGAAAACTTTTTTGATTCATCAATAAAAATTTTAAATCTTTTGTGCAAGATTAACAGGGGTCGTTGAGTCCCGTAAAAAATTCTATTCCTAATATCGAAATATAATAATTTTTTTAAAATGTTCGTTTAAAATTGACCAAATTTCTAATCTTTATATAAAGATTGTAACATTATAATATTTCATATAATAAATAATAAAATTTTTAAAACAGAAAATTATCGCTCTAAAAACAAAATTGAATTTTACAACCAATGTAATAATTTCATTTTAAGGTTTATGAATATGCAGAAAATTATCGTACTGATGTTGATCATTGAACATATTTTTACACACACACATAATACAAACAAAAAAAAAAAATTTTTTTTGTTCATATTGTTTTATATATCTCTCATATCAGTGAATATTACTATAGATACATTATCCCTGGTATCATTCTACAGTTTACTAAACTAAATTTGGTTATTAGTGCACAATTGCAATACAACCTCAAAAATATGTTTCCGAAAAATATTGTCTATTTTAGTCATCATGAATATGGATAATTTGAATGATTTAATGATTTAAAGTTTCACGAATAAAAAAATATCAAGCGTTTCAATAAGGGGGGATACAAAATGCAAACAAATCTGCGTCTTTCAATGAGACATGAAATTTATGCAGGTTAATCAAAATTAGTTACGTTTGTGGCGCAGCTTATCGATCACTCAGAAATGAATATTTTTTTTTAAAAAATTTGCTCCGTGTCACATTTATACTAATTGACTATAATATTAATTGTGGCCGAGTCACAAGGAAAAGTCGTGATTTTGATTGAATATGAATCTTTCTTTTCTATGTCTAGATGGTTTAAATTCAAATTAGACTTCATACTTAAATTATAACCTTTGGCTTCATTGTATCTGGACACTTTCTGAATAAATGATAATTTAATATATCATAATTCTATTTAGACGCGTGATTTCGAAAATCAGTGGCGACAAAGCACCCATCCTTTTTATCTTCCTTTAGTTTCAAAATAAGTTCATTTATATATCAATTAAATAAAACTGGAAAACAAAAACATACAATGCAGATTTAATAAATTAGTCAAAATAAATAAAATCCTAACATCTTATAGGATATCCGTGTAATAATTCATAAAGAACATTCGATATCAGTAACTCAAACAATTTATTCATTATACAATTGAAATATATGACCCAGGGTTTGGCTTTAAAATAGTATATTTGAATATTCGTTATAAAAAATTCAAATATAAGTTTTTGATTTCGAATATCAAAATATCAATGATCAATGTCAATCATATCTTAATACTGGATTTGAAGAACATGTGGATGAAGTCAGAGAATTTCCAATTACTGAACTGACTTAAAAGGTGGAATGAACTTTTCTAAAAAAAATAAAAATAATATTAAATTTAATAAAAAATATATTTCAAGCTGACGTTATAAAAAGCAGCATTAAATAATATAAAGGTTTAAGAAAATAATTCCAGGAAAAAGCTAGAAAATATCCTCTACATTATTAAAATCTACAAATATGTAATTTTAATGACAAGTAATTTCAACATTACTATATCTATCATCGATAATATTGTGATTATAGTTGTCATAATAATGTTCTTCCTTAAATTCCCTTTATTGGTTTGTTGAGTCCGGCAATTTCTTAATATTTTCTGCAACATGAACCAATCAAAATTGAAATTAGAAAGGAAAAAAAAATAAAATTGTTTAAAAAATAAAATTTAAAAAAATAAAAATTAGACGGAATGATCATAAACAAAAAAAAAATCTTACTTATAATAGATTTCGTCGGAATTACCATATTCCAAGAACGCCAATTACTGAACTGATATTCGATAAAATCCATTTATTTTCATTAACAAAGATATACAAATGCTAGGATAATGTTGTGCTATGGATTCCTTTTGCTACTGAGGTACATCTATCTGTTATACTAAAAATTCTCCTTTTGATTTCCATTTGTGCATTCTCATTACTTTTAACGTAAAATACGTTAGGTGCCATCACTGCTACCTACACATTTTTAAGCTTCATCAGGATACCAAAAAACAATTCACCCATATATTTGAAGATTCTGACGTACCGTTGAGTTTTTTCTTTTTGACTCATATTACGCATTATATTCTTTGATCTATTTGATTTTTGGTGTAATGTAGTCTTTACCAAGAATTATGATCCTAGCACCTTTCTTTACTGATTAGAATCAAGAATAGCCAGCATCGCTTCTTGATTTATTGCTGTAACAGCTTGTTGACATTTTGGTAATTACTTTCTTTGCTTCTTACTCGGAGAATCGATAACTTTCCATTATCATTGGCGTTTCCGGTGATTCATATTCAACTTTTCTCTTATAACCTGAAGGGTCCTTTCATGCATTTCCGAAGACTTAATTATATTTGATAAGTTTTTATAAGCTGCTTCTTTTGCTGCTTCTTGATTGACTGCAAAATACTTCCACTGTAAAACTTCCAATGCTACCTAGTCCGAATACTACACCAGATTATCTCGAACACATCAACCCCAAACATCTAAAATTTTCTATTGTTTATGATTCATTCTTATTGGCTAGTTCTGGAGGGAATTAAAAAAAAAAAAAGAAAAAAAATTTTTTTTTTCAAATAATTATAGAAATTAAATCTAAGTCGTACCATAAGTTTCCAGATAAAAGCATAACAGTTAAGCGTAAACAAAATTTCTTATCAATTAAAGAGAGTATAATAAAGCCTTTATTTGCCCACATTTCGGGCTTTTCTTATTTAATTATATGTTTCGCAAAATATTGTATCACATTACATATACTTATACCAATTTTGGTTCAATGTTCGAAATTTTAGTTGTGATTTTAATGCATTTACAGTCGCGCATAATTTTATTTATAAATTACACGATAAGAATATTATTTTTTACTTTCATCCCACATATAAAATATTATTTCGCTGTCTCAAAATATGGTTGCCTGGCAAAACTCATTTTAACAAATGGAAAAAGTCGAAACCCTATATTTTCGACGGATTTGTTAATAAGTATATAATATAGTTTTGACTTTTGACGGGATTTTATTACGGTTTCGAGTTTCGACGGGTTTGCCAATAAGGTTTTACTACAGTTTTGCCAATGACCCTTTCGAAACCCGAGAGTTTTGCCAGGCAACTATAGTCTCGCAGTAAATACAGTAAATAGAAAAATGACATCGAAATTGAGCATTTTTTACTTTCTCCATGAAAGTATACGTTTTCTTTTAAACTAGCATCCTTCTAAAAAATCTTTTTGTTTTGCATTGAATTTAGGAATGGATCGGTCCTGGTAAGACCGGCCTTAGACCGGTTAATGGGACCTGTCCTGCGGTCCACGGTCCATATTCTGAGGACTGGACCGGACCGGTCCTTATTATTTATATATTAAAGTTAATTTTATTTATAAAATATTAAAAAATTAGAGTTGGATCGACCCGGTTTTCATCTTTCTTATGGAACGGTCCGTCCATAAGTCAGCCCTTGGACCTGTCCTAATATTTACTGTAACGATAATGTCCGAAATGGAAATGGAGAAATAACGAGATTAAGAAGGCGAGTAATCGTTTCGCAATGATACTTTTTTATTTATTAAATTTATACAATTAAATTGATAATTTTTATGTATATTTTTTCTAATATGTCCTAAACCGATCCTTGGCCAATCTTATAAATCGGTCTGGTAAGAAAACAAATCTTGAACCGGACCGGACTGGTAAGAACGAATGGTACAAGACCGGTCTTAGGACCGGTCCTTGGACTGACTTATGGACCGGTCCGGTCCGAAGAAAGATGAAAGACCCGTCTTTTTGGACCGGACCGATCGAACCCTAATTGAATTAGACTAACCCGGTCATCAAATTATTGTTTAACCGTTAATTAACCGTTTAGGCCAGAACTATAAATTTGGCCGGACTTAGACATATTTTTGCAATCATTAAAATATTAATTATGGCCGGATATTGAATTTTGGCCGGAGTTAAATTCATATATTTTAACCGAACCGGTTAAAAATAAACCGGTTCCATATTACAAATCTAACTTTCAAATAATACCCCGTAAATTTAGCACGAATCCGTTAAGAATTCGAGAAGTTGTAGTTCGAGGATTTCTTAGCACATTCCAGACAATTTCGTTTCCATGAGCTCGATAAATTGTTACATTTTGGTTGATCGGATCGATTAAGATATCCTCCTATAAAAATAACTGTAATGATTAATAGCAAAAAAACATAATCAACCATTATCACTTACTTTAACACCGGCTTCCATATAAAAGCATATTTTTTCGTGGTTATAATTCTCGGTATCATTAGCTGAACGTACCTTTTCGACAAAATTTGGGACGACCGAGGGAGACTTCTCATTTAGGTCATTAGATGATAACGCGTTCCATCTGTAATAAAAAAGTTAAAAAAATGATGAAACATAAAATGATAAACCTTGTAGCGAGAACAACGGAAGCATCAGGACTTCGATCAGTTGCAGGAGGCAAAAGTAAATTATAATATGTCTATGGTTAGTCATATTTTAAAAGAACATGATATTAGAGCGAACGTGAAGAAAAGTTTTCATAATATTACAAGACATACTCGACTATTTCCAATTAGTCCAACAAGTTTAGGTTATTTCGGTAACTTCATATATAAGATGAGACTCTCTTTGACCCAATGATGACAAATGACCAGGTCATTTAGCGATTTGAAATGACCTCTGAATGACCTTCAAATGACCTGGTCATTTGAGGTCATTTGTCATTTGGTCATTTAAATGTAATACAAGCAAATTTTATATGCTGGCCAGAATTACAAATTTATTTCACGTGAAATATTTATGAAAAAAGTTCGAAACATAATTATGTTGGCCAGAATTATTGAGATCACATGATATAATTTTTAAATAACCTGGTCATTTGTTCATTTGTCATTTAATGTTGAAATAACCCAAATGACACATGACCAGTCATTTGAGTCATTTGAGGTCATTTGGGTCACTTACCATCACTGCTTTGACCTATTTTTTATTATCATAATTCAGCATGGAAAAGGAACGCTTATCGACATTCCAGCTCATGGTACATACCAGCTTGTGCATGGACAAGCATTATTACAACTTTACCATTAATTAGATCTAATTTAAAAGAAGAGAATATTGTCGCAAGTTCTTCGAAGTCTTGAAACCTTCAACAAGTGTTACTTCATGCTTGTCCTTGTCCAGATTTTAATGAGAAGGAAGTATTGGCATCGAGTTTTTTTACGAATGAGTTCTTCAGGAGTGGATTCTGCAGACATTTTGACTATAGTTTAATCTGATAATTTTGAGATCTGCAAAAGTATATAAATCTGATCAAAAGACATGAAATGAAAGAATTTCATGTGAGATTGATCACCTGAAATGCGGCGAAAGAGATTAGGAAAATTTCTTGACGTAGGAGCTGGAGGATTTTCGTGATATGATAACATTTGCCAATTCCGATATCACGCGGTTTAGATGCTATAAATAAAAAAGGGATACCAGGTAAGTATGTAAGATTTATACTTGATTAGTTTCTTGAAATACGCCATCAAGATACTGATCTATTTTTCCGGCTCCCTTCGATCAACACGGGTCTTTGACAAGAGATATAAGGTGAAGCGAGGAAAGACTTCCCAGGTTGATCTACTAACATGAGCTGAAACACCTTCCAATTATCCGTGTCACAACCTAGAATATGAGAAAAAAGATCTTCGTGATGGTGATGCGATTTATTT